GAGATTAAGGTTTAAATGAGATAACGTCAATTTTCTAGCTGTGCTCTGCCCATTAAAAAAGGGTTTGAAGTATATCCTTCCATATAATTACTTCACTCGGCAGATTTTGCTGGTTTTGAAATGTATAAATTTTTGAGAGCCCAAGAAAAAGGAATGAATCTTGATCACATTTCATCTCCAGTATTTACCAATATCCATAATACAGCTGATGATTAATATGTATTTGTTAAAAAATGGGAGGATGCTTCACACTTTTAAAAGAATGATTAATTTGTTTCTGAGACAGGGTAAATCCCTGCTACAAGAAGTGGTGAGGAAATATGGGTATATTGGTTAATTAAATATTCTGACTAAAGAAGTTATCAGGTAGGAGACACACTGTTGAAATTGTCAAAGTTTTCATTCTTTTACATAGTCTTTTTTTTTTTTTTTTTTTTGCGGTACGCGGGCCTCTCACTGTTGCGGCCTCTCCCGTTGCAGAGCACAGGCTCCGGACGCGCAGGCTCAGTGGCCATGGCTCATGGGCCCAGCCGCTCCACGGCACGTGGGATCTTCCCAGACCGGGGCACGAACCCATGTCCCCTGGATCGGCAGGCGGACTCCCAACCACTGCACCACCAGGGAAGCCCTAAATAGTCTTTTAATTATAAAGTCCTTACTGGGTACCTGCTATGGGCAAGGCAATTTTGGAAATCCAGTTTCAGTCATGACCTTATGCTTTTATAAAATTTATAGTTTAAATCAGAGACAAATATAATTCTGTATTTAATAATTGTTGTAATGGAGGAATGTACAAAATGCAATGGGTGCTTAGAGAGCTAAACACCTAACTCTACTTGGGAGGAGTGAGCAAAGGCTCCATGGCTTCTAAACTTGAAGAATGAGTCTGAGGCTTTGCAGGCAAATGGAGAAAGCAAAGGCATGGAAGCATAATATGGCACATCAGATACTAAATATTATTTGTAGTTCAGTGTAGCTGCAGTGTGAATTGGAGAAGGAAACTGTACGAAAGAGAGTAGCAATAACAGACGACTCTGAACAGTTCAAAGACCAGTTCAAGGGCCACAGATGTCATGAGAAGTATACTTTTTTGTTCAGTGGGATTTTGATTAGTGGAACTACATGATCATATTTCCACGTCACAAAGCTCATTACAACGAAAGTGTGGAAAAGGAAATGGAGACTAGAGGCTTTTATAATAGCATATACGAGAAACTGAGGGCTTTAGATCATGGAGATGGCTATGAGATTATATTCTGTAAACAGAATCAATCGAATTTTATGATTGGTTTGCTAAGGCAAGATAAAGGCGAGAATCTAATGAGTTTCAAATGCCTGGCTTAGGTAGTTAGATGTGGCTAATAGTTTGGACAGATTGAGCTCTTTGAGAATGTTTATTTCAATTAATGGTTTAATTAAACAGCCTGGTTTAGTGATTTACCCATCCCCGGCACTATCAGAGGGTACTTCCAGAATTTCTGTATTGGAGGGGCTGACAGGCGAGTCTAGTGGGAAGAGCAGGTTACTGGGGAGCTAATCTTGTAGCTGCATCTGCAAGGCACACAAGGTTCAAAACCATAAATTGTCTGATGGGGCTGATGAACGCGGGGGGGCCATAGTCCCATTCCCACTAAGCCACCCTGTGGAGTCACACTGGACTCATAATTACCTTTATTTGATTGGTTTTTACTTAATGTCCTACAATCATACTGTATTTACACCATTAGTAAGTAATGCCATTCATGATTACACACATATTTGGTACTCTGAAATGAGAATTTAGGCCTGACACATTTCTTATATTTTTAAATTTATAATTCAATATAGATCTAGTATATTGTGAAAAAGATACTGAAAAATTCTCCCAGTATGATATGGAGGGTTCCAAAGTCAAACAAGGAGTCAAATTTTAAATCTCAACCTCTTTAAGCCTCTTTCTTCTTCAGTAAAATGGGAATAATTTGGCATTGTTGTGAAGAATGAGACATGTGAAAGTAAATATCAAAATATCTGATGTTCAATACATATTGAAACTGTGTATTCATATTCAATACATATTTGTGCAATACATTTCTTTTAGATGAGTTACATATGTAAATTATATGTGTATATATATACATACCCACTAATTCCATAGGTAAATACATAAAATAGATATATGTATACATACACATATATATGATTTACATATGTAATATGCAGTTTATAAATAGCCTTGGGAACACTAATATTTGGTCAGTTAATTTATAAGTGCTCCATTAGAGTACATAAATGCTTTCAAATTACAAATATTTCTAGGTCTTTGGGTAAAGACATGGTGGGCATTTTTAATGTCTTAATTTGGGGACCGGGGAGCTTAAATTGGACTGAGTTTTCTTCCCACTGGCTTCTCTTTCAAATAACTAATCTTAAGAAATAAAATATCCAAAAAACTATTGGACGTGGAACACTTTAAAAGGAGGCTTTACTACCGGTGAGTGAGAGAGACTGTTACAGCATCTCTGCACTTAGCTACTGGATGAACAAGCAGTGGGATGTACACTTCCCAAGATTCTAGAACATATTCTAGTTACTCTGACCCGTTACACTGCATTTTGTTCATCTACAAAGTGAAAAGTTATCATTAATTCTCAAACTGAGCTGCAAAGCAGAAATCATCAGGACTGCTTTTATAAACAGAAATTCTTATACATCATTCCAGATTTAATGAGTAAGAACGTTAGGGGTGGCTTCCAGAAATCTGTATTTATAATTTCCGAGGTGATTCTGATAATTACCCCAGGTTTATTTAGGACCCACCAACCTAAACACTTACTATAGACACTGTAACTTGAATTTTTTTCCAAATGGACTGGCATTTGGAAATATATATTCATTTCTAAGACCTATAGCCATTAATCATTTTTGCCCTTTTTTTGTTTTTTTTGGCTACATTTGTTATATACTGGCTCAACAGGTGTGCTAATTAAACACTAATAATAAGAGTAGACAATATGGTTTATGGTATAAGAAAATGTATTTTCACAAGCATACCAATAAAGCATTTAAACTAAATACAACACTTCAAAACATTCTGCACAAAGAAGTTACAGATCACATTTATTTAATAACAAAACGCCTAGTTCTTCAAGACAATATTTTTTAAGACCTTACTGAAATACAATTTTCCAACCAAAGAACAAAAATATTAAACAAATTATGGTAGAAGACATCATAAAACTTATTAATGTAACAAATTAGGCAGAATTTTGAGCTAGAAACAGAATGGGGGAAATCTACATAAAACAAAAAATGCAGAAAACTGGGTATTCATAAATTTCTGGCTAACTGAGGCTTAATGCTGTTAAAGACCAGGAGTCTTTAAGCGTCAGACTTTGTTTATAAAAATAAAAAATTCCCCAAACATTAGCAACATACTACCTCAGCACAAATTTTTTTCCCTTTACAATTCAGAATCCTGCTGTTCATTTGTCAAATATATGAACAATACCTAGTTACTTCCTTAAACTTAACCAATATTACTCTTCGGATACTGATTCTGTTGCATTGTTTTTTTCCCAATGAACCTAGAGCCTATGCACACTTGGATAAAAATTGGTCTTAGAAATACTTTATTCATGCATAATTCTACACATATTCATCGAAGGCCTACATTTCCAAGCCTAGAAAGAGCGAGACAGAAACGAGGCCTGCCTCCAGAGCTTACCATCTAGAATACAGCAAGTCAAGCACTGGTTCTCAATCACTACGAGCCTTCGTTTCACCTTTCAAGACGTGCACAGATATTGATGTCCTGTCTAAGGGCAAACAAAATCCTCCCTTATGCATATCATTCTTTAGATTCTCTACGGGGAATTTTGAAATCTGTATGTTGACAAGGCCTATGCTTTGCTTTCTCTGATTGCCTTCTGCTCCTTATAACAATGTCAGGTATTTTATTTTCCTTTCATTTCTCCCAACATAGCCTCTGCGGTTTTGTCCATCCAGTCTGGCCTTTTCTGTGACACTCGTTACACCTTTCTGCTCCCCTTCATTTTTTTTTCTTTCCTTCTTACTAGAAGCCTGGTCACCTGGGCTTCCCCATCTTCCTTTCCCAGCTTCTTATTCACTCCAGGAACTAATCTTAACACTTCCTTAAATGTTGGGTCTTCAGTAAGTAGAACTAGTGAGCATTTCAATTAGCATTTCCTTGAGCTCTGTTGTGAACGTCAGATCCTCTTTACGACAATACTTTCTCCCTGAACACTATGTAGATATGTTATCCTCAAAAAGATGGTTTCTTGAGGATTCCTGTTTTAAAAGGTTTTTTCAAAAAAGAGATCAATAAAGGAATGCATAATTCAGCAACTGATGCTCCTAATGTTAGTCTCAATTAAACCCTCTGGCGTGGGATACCAATGTCACACGTAAGGGGCTAGATCGGAAATTCAAGTTTTGGCTCTTTGATTTTTAAATTAAAATTTATAAGAACTCAAGAAGTCTGAAAACTTCAAAGCAAGCTAAATGATAAAAAGATAGTTATTCATTGATGTGATCCTTTATCATAAATGATATTAATGAAGAATTCAACTATTTTTGTGTCTCCAGGTCAGATGCTATCAAGCAAACTGCCACGTATGGATTGATAATCTTTTTACATTATTAACTCAAAGACAAATAGGAAGAGTCAGTAAATTTTAATTTTCCAAATGTTCTCAGAAAGAATGATCAGAAGCATCCTCCAGTTATCAGACACAGTTGGATAATCCATTTACCCACAACGAACTACCTGTGTGTGCTGTGAGGTAGTAATGTGATCTTCTGTGGTGATGACACCCTCAACGCAGAAGCCGCCCCTCTTCACGTGAGGAGTGTGAACAAGAAGGGACAGACAGTCACCTTTCATTACTTCATCAACTACTGGTGTCTTCACAGGATTTCAAATGCCTGATTCCAATTTTACAACAATAACAATAACAATATTTATCTGGAAGGGGATTTTATGTTCCAAGCAGCAGATATTAACAACTTCCAACACGATCTCTAGGAATTATTCGCAGTTCTGAACCGTGCTTTAGAAAAACATTTCCTATACAAACAAACAAAACAAAAAGTTAGGTATTTAAAAAATGACACACTATCTTAACATTTCAACAATTATTATGTAAAAGAAACAAAGGAGTGTCAAGTAGGTACAAAGCTCAAAGATCATTAGAACCCGAGTCCAGGCGTAAGTCTTGTGCCTACCCCTCTCACATCTTCACAACCCAACTAATGTTTGAAAATTTTAAATAAGAACACTACCCAAAGAACTACTACCAAAACCAATCATCAAATAAAACATAAGGTAATTTAACCATCAATACTCACTTTAATATACAATAAAATACTGAGGGGCAGGAAAAATAACAAATCTAAATCTACCCCAAGTGACAGAAGTTTAGAAACCCTGACCTACTCTGGGTCTGCGTTGCCTGCTGAGATTTTCTTCACACCTCGTGATGCCCACAATTCAATTTTACAGGGTAATCCAACAGGCAACATGTCAGAGTAAGCAATAATTCAAATTAATATAACTACCAAGCATTTCTAGAGTAGGAAAAGCAAAACCTTTAAACCTAAGTTTAAAGGCATCTATACAACAAAATGCCTCATGATTCTCAAAAAATAGACTTTTTAATTTAATAAAATTATACACTTAAAACAACTGATTTATGTAAAAAGAAATTATTTAAAATTCCTCTTCATTTGCTGTATGGCTAAATTTCAAGCCCAGGACCTAGGAGGACAATATAATTTTGTAGAAGTACTTTAGAATCTGAATAGTTTAAAAATAACTACTTGTCAAGATTGAGGTTACATTATATTAAATCATGCTTAATTTCAAAATATTATAATTAGACTATCAGCTAAGGAAGGTACATCTAACACAAACATACAACTGTCTGTTAAAAAGTTTACTTTTACCCTTCCTGCTTGTTAGGACATCAATATTTAGCACTGTATAATGTTAACAGCTTGAAGCTCTGAGTGTAGACTAGGCCCCCCGTGAAATTTAAATGACTGTACGTCTTTAAATAATAATAGCCAGCACTTACTGAATGCTTACTATAAATAATGCAAACTTTTAAGCACTTTACAGGTTACTACCTCACAACTACCTTACGACATAGCTCAAAATCACTATTCCCACAAGAGCACAATCTTCAGACTTTTTGTTACATGTATTAAATACCTTTAAAGCTTATTGGTCAGGTTTTCTCTTTCTTGTAGCCAAAAGCATACATAACTGATACACAGAAAGAAACAAAGTACTTACACACATAGGTAAAGACTGCTATACAATCCCTAAAGATCAACTATTACCTTGGTTAAATCCTATCAAGTCTAATTAGAATGAATTAAATATTCAGTATCAATTGATAAATATAGCCTCACCACACCTCCACGGATTTCAGAGAGATACTCACCAGCAGTCTGTGCAGGATTTATTCCTATTCCATCTAGAAAATAAGTCGTAAAATCATCTAAGTTATTTCTAAAGCTAAAAGGCTTTAATCGTAACAAGAAGAACTGTGCCAAAAAAGTGCTGCTGTGTACACAGGCATAAGGCAAACAGTTATACTGAGAACACGAATGACAATCTGTCAGGTGAGTTATCTGTTGAAATCTCTCACTATTATGTATTCACACATATTGTTGGATTAGACAAGAACATCTGTCAACACAATGATCCTGGTAAGTTTTACAAAGAAGATAGTTTTTTATACTATTTTGCCACATCCAGTGAAAAATAAAGCCAAAACACCTTAGGTATGTCATTAATCATTTAATATTGCTCTGAGGCATCAAATCCTAAGGCTGGAGAGCCCACGTAGTGATGTAAATTCCACTGACACTTGATAAAAGTTTACAAAGCACTTTCCCAATAGCTATTCATTTGTGAATTTAGAACTTTCCAGAAAAGTAAGATAGCTCTCATCTAAATACAGACACATTTCAATGTGACAGCATGCAGAATGTTTCAGAATGAGAAATTCCGTCATATCTAAACTAAATCATACAAATTATTGCACATTAAAGCCACCTTATTGGGCTTCCCTGGTGGTGCAGTGGTTAAGAATCTGCCTGCCAACGCAGGGGACACAGGTTCGAGCCCTGGTCCAGGAAGATCGCACATGCCACGGAGCAACTAAGCCCACGTGCCACAACTACTGAGCCTGCGAGCCACAACTGCTGAAGCCCGTGCGCCTAGAGCCCGTGCTCCGCAACAAGAAAAGTCACCGCAATGAGAAGCCCGCGCACCACAATGAAGAGTAGCCCCCGCTCACTGCAACTAGAGAAAGCCCGCGCGCAGCAGCGAAGACCCAACGCAGCCAAAAATAAATAAAACATTAAAAAAAAAAGCTACCTTCTTTTAGTCTATCTTAACTAATCCCGAACCACTCACCAGTACCTGTGAATATTACTTTGTATTCTTGAAAGATAATAAGCATTCCCTGCAATCTTTATTCCTCATCTTGTTTCAGTATTTTCTCATAGGGCTATTTCCATTAAACTTAATTATTAGTAGTGTCCTAAGATATTCAGAATTTAATTTATATATCTAACTGGATAAAATCCTCATTATTGCAGTCTATAAGAAATTGTTTTCTATCAGGAAAGCAATAACAAGGTATAGCAAAGGTACATTCCTGCTTAGCTTCC